CCCCCCCCCCCCCAAAAAAAAAAAAGAGAAAGAAAGAAAGATCCCTTCTCTTCGGTCTGTCGAAGAATCTTCGATAAGCCCAAGGAATCTTGACAGCATCGTGCACGATCGCGCCTCCCCCGGTCGGTCCCCCGTCCCCGCCGACACAGCCCTTCTCCTCCCCCTCCCCATTTCCCCTTCCCCTTCCCCTTCGCCTTCTTCCCTTTCCCCTCCTCAGAGCATACTCCCAGGAGCACTTTCCTGAATGCATTGCATCTAATCGCAACTGCTGCCGGCGCTGGATGCATCTATCCGCAATCACGTCCAAAGAGCTCTGTCGGAAAAGTCCCGGTGTGAGTCCACGCGTTTCCGAGCTGTCGGGAACTCGGCCCTGCCAGCCTCGTGATTCTCTCTTTTTTGTTTTTCGGAAAGTTTTCTTTTGTTTTGGCTAATTGCTCTGAGGACCTGCAGGTCGTTTCTTGAACAGATTCGCTGTTCCTGGCCCTCGATCTTTTTCATCTACCAGGAATAGAGGGAAGTGGGGACCACATTTGCGCAGGAAAGGAATCGGACTCAGCGCGACGTCCATATGGAACGAAAGCTGGTCGCCCAGAACCCTCCTACCTCTCGCCTAAGGGCATGCTTGCCCGGGGCAAGGTCCCACTCGCAGGGATTAAGAGATTCTGGCCGATGATCTTTGCTATCTATGGTCAATATCCCTTAGGCCCTCGATCTTTTTCATCTACGAGGAATAGAGGGAAGTGGGGACCACATTTGCGCAGGAAAGGAATCGGACTCAGCGAAACGTCCACGTGGAACGAAAGCTGGTCGCTCAGAACCCTCCTACCTCTCGCCTAAGGGCATGCTTGCCCGAGGCAAGGTCCCACTCGCAGGGATTAAGAGATTCTGGCCGTTGATCTTTGCTATCTACAGTCAATATCGCTTAAACCACCAGTACTTGGCCCAGCTATCGGCCGCGGAAAAAAATGGAGTAGAAACATTTCTAGTTGGATGAATTTGGGCGCTCCTGTAGTGGCCCGTACGTTTCCTAAAATTGCATAGCGTTAACGCTACGCGACTTTAGGAAGTACTGGTGGTTTAATTGGTGTAAGTGGGACCTAGCCCCAAATGTGTATGACGGCTTTGGCCACCCTGCGTGGATGCACCTGGCAGCAACTACGTACATAAAGAAGTGGAAGAAGTCGTAGTGGAAGTCGTACTATACAATAAATATTTTTGTTTTTATATATACTTAATTAAGCACTATGATCCTGGTCCTCAAGCAACTTTCACGGAAATTGGGGACAAGGCCCATATGGCGAAAAGGGACATGTTTGTTTGCTTTGAGGAATAAAAAGAGGCAGGGTTGAAATGGTTCTCCCACACAACTTTGCTAGAATTACAAAGTCTTAAGATCAAAGCAAATGTGATGTGGTCGGCCTCTGACATTCTTGCTTTTCTCAGTATAATTCTTCGCAGAGGAATCCTTCAATCTGCTGGGGATTTTGACAATGGATCCTGGACCCACCTCTAAAACACAAAGGGAGGAGGTCCTTACATAGCAGGGGGCTAAGATGGAAGCAATTAATGCATATTATGGAAAAAAACCATCCTGGCAGCGTGCAACCAAAACGGCAGACTTGGACCTCTCTGAATGTAAATGGCCTAGCCACGACAGACACAAAAAAAAGAAAGTTTATATTGGAACAATTAAAAGGCGTGGGTGGCAGGTCATGGCCTGACATAGTATGTATTCAAGAAACTCATCTAACTGATTCCCCTATTCACACTCGGACCCACAATATGGTTTGTCCGTTTGCTAAGATCAGTGCACATTCTCCAAGAAGTGGGTCAGCAAGAGTAGCAATTTGGGTACCACCGGAATCTCGAACACAAATTGTCCAATGGGTATCAGATAAGGAGCAGGGTCGATGGATATCTGTCATCTTCAAGATTGGATCAGATACTATATATGTAATGAATGTATATCGGTCAAATGAAGTTGAAGAAAGAATCAGGTCCTTTCATGATATAAGAACCCATATCCCGGCAGGGATACCTTTGGTCATGCTAGGAGACGTCAATGCAGCCCCGGATAGATGGCTAGATCGTTGGAAGATCTTTTCTCCATGCCCTCCTTATATAGGGAAAGATGAGATTATAATACAAACCTTATGCGAAAATGAACGCCTATTTGACTCGTACCGAAGAATCTTCCCGCGAGAAAGAGTATTCACATGTTTACGCAATCAAGGTAACCGTCTCCAATCCAAATCAAGAATAGATCTCATCCCGATGTCTGAATATCTAGAAAGAAATCTCACAGGGGTAGCAATTTTTCCACAAAGCCCATGGGCTGGTGCAGATCATAAAATGTGTTCAGTACTCCTCTCTTTTTCAAAAAGAAACTGGATCAGGGGAAGAGATTCTATAAACTAAATACATCTTTGCTAATATACGACAATTTAAAAAAATACTTAGCAGATGTATGGGAATATTGGCACTCAACGGAAGAGAAACAAGATTCCTTTATTTCTTGGTTCAACAATGGGTTAAGTTTTTTTGCAAAAAAATGCAATGAATTTTTAAAATTACGACCAAAGAATAAACATTTGCAGGAAATATAAATTCAAGAACAAATTTTGAATTATGAATCTCAAGACCCTGAATTCTCACAAACTATTGATATCCAAGAACTCAGGAAAAAATTGTTGTCATTTGCGCAGCATCGTTGGCAATGACAGATAATCAGAGGCAAATTGAAGAAATTCGGGACTGTAGCCGACCCACCAGGAAGGTGCTCCGCCTAGGATAGTGATGGAGATGGAGGATGAGGGAGGAGCGAGATGGCACAGCGCAGCTCCCACGCAAGACTCCAACGCACGTACTCCAAATCGTGCAAGTGTAGAATGACCACGAAAACAGACAACTGCTGGGGTATACCCCAGCGGACTGACGGGACTGGACTGGACTGGCTGGTACCGACAGAGGTACTGGCCTGGACTGGACTGGACTGCCCCTGAATAGAACACAGGCCTGTGAGAACAGGCCAAGGGGCTGGTCTCACAGGCCAACCAACTAGAGGTCCGCTACACGATCCTCGGCCTGTGATGGATCGCCTAGATGCAAACACGCTTCCGTCAAGAAGCAGAACTCTACCAAAGAAAAAGAAAAACCTGAGTAGTCTAGAATGTGGAGCGAGTTTCATGCGGAGTCCATGCGATGCAACCTAGGCTAGAAAATGTCACAAAACAACAATGTCACAGCTAACAGCCGAAGTAAAAGCAGAAGCAACTAACTAGCATACATGTCATAGGAAAGCAAAAACAACTAACTAGCATACATGTCCTAGGAAGCAGAAAGTAATGACAACTAGATTCTATAATGTTGGAGGCAGTAGCCTCAGTTTGGAAACAACTGACTAGTGAATAGTCCTAAGAACAGCAAAAGCAGAACAACTAAATCCTAGAAATGTCAGAGGTAGTAGCCTCAGTCTGAGAGCAACAAAGCAACAACAAAACAACCATATGTCACAGGAGAAGTGTGTCACAAACCAAAGGGTGGAATGGTCTCTGAGGGTGGCGAATGCAGCCTAGGGGTCAAAAACTTCTAAGGGCATCCACACATAGTGACAGGGGGAACACATGTCATCAGGCTCAATGAGGGTAGGGAACTGGGAGCGAACAAAACCAATGAACCTAACAGATAGACCATCAGGGCCGGTAAAACTCGACTAAGGGGTGACCGCTATGGGGGGTCGACCATGCAAGGGAACAAGGGAGCCTGGTATACTGGGCGCACCTAGATGAAGCATGCGGGGCTGCCTAACTAGGGCGTGAGGGCCGGCAGAGGGTAGAAAGATCATGGGTAAGGGAATCATGCAGGTGACTCCTAAGGTGGGGAAGTCGGAGCTAAATCCGTAAGATGGGAAGCCAGGGCAACGCTACGGTCCCGATGCCTATGCGTATACCAAGGGAGAGCCCAACTCAGAGCAACCCGGCTAAAGGGAGACCATCATGTGACACAAGTAGGGTACTGTACAGGGTAAAGTGGTAAGAGAGTGGCGACGTCTGAAGTAGGCAGAGCTGATCGTGACGAAGTTCATGAAGCTGCCGATGACGTCCACGATGAAAAGTCCGGAATGTCGTCGAGGAAGAGCCGCAACGTCGACGAGCTGAAGTAGCAAAACTGGAGTGGATGGAGTACTGAGAAGTCAAAGACGTGGGAAGGTAAGTTAGAGTCAATCGTCGTATCGAGCAGGACGACGACGAGTGCGCTGTGGACGCTCAGAAGCATCCAGCTGCTGCGGACGGTCTGCCTCAGATGGAGCAGGCTCGACTTCAGCGGTCTCCTCAGCCGGGGGAGAAGGAGGAGGGTTAGTGGGTTGAGGAGGAGCAGTGAACCCAGCACGACGAGCACGGTCATAGGCACGCACCAACATGCGAGCGTGCTGCAAGTGCTCGAGGGGCTCCGAGGTAGCCTCCTCATCA